CTTCTGGTTTAGGGCTTCTATCCCTCTAAGTATTATTCTTGCATCAGGGTTTAGTTGCCAGAGGAGTTCTCCAAAAGTCATGTTCGTTTTTCAAGGTGAAGAAAAAGTGAATTACTATAGAATGTATTACACTTATTATAAAATTGCACAACGTTTCGAACCTACATGGTTCATTCTTAAGTGATTCTCATTCTCCATTCTCAAACGTTAGTTTTAACTCAAATTAAATAAATGTACGCATATATAATGCAATGAAAAGCGTTATCATTTCACAAGAAGAAAATTAGAAAATATATAACTTCAGGAAAATCTGGCTTATTATGCCAATCGGGTCTTGCATAGAAGGCCAAGCTCAAGCTATTAGGTACAACATATATAAGCTTCAACATAGTGAAGAGTAAGGGTCAGCTGATGTGACCTCTGACCTGTCAGCCTCGACAGTTATGAGGCAGGTGATGAATGGAAGAGTGAGGGGGGGGGGGGACCGCTCACCCCTCACCGCTCTGACGCCCACCTGTTGTGTCCTGTGTGAGGGGGAATGGGTGATGGGGTCACCCCGGGCCTCCCCTTGCCTCCCTCTGTCATGGGTCACCCACTGGACATGATCTCCCGGGAAGAGGACGGCCAGAGCCATGCTTCTGTAGCAGTGTGTGTGTGTGTGTGTGTGTGTGTGTGTGTGTGTGTGTGTGTGTGTGTGTGTGTGTGTGTGTGTGTGTGTGTGTGTGTGTGTGTGTGTGTTACCAAAATTCGGGCTCTATGAAACGAGCTGACCAATCAGAAAAGGTGTGTTTCCCAGGACCTCATCAGGAAGCACACTGTTGACATAGGAGTCCATTTTGAGGAGGGTGTTCTGCACCCTACACCCTGGACGGCCCACAAGCCGACACTCCAGCCATATCGGCTGCAGGGAGAGTACCTCCCTCCCTCACTGGACGGTGTTCACGTAGCCTCGATACAGGATTACGGCGTTGTTGTGTAGTCCTGTGGGAAGGGCAAGGTCCTTGGGGTGTATGAGGTTGTTCCCGATGCCGTCAAGATCCTAGTTTCCGCTCAAAGACGGACCAATGGGCAGCGCGATTGCCGGTATAATGGCTGCTGAGAACAGCTAGTCGTTAGCGAAGCACTGTTCGAGAAATGTTCGAACATCAACAGTTGTGAGTCGCGTGTAGTGTTTGTCATTCAGAAGGGCTTAGCGGCTAAATTAAATAGCATTTGGACGGTAGGCCGTCCTCATAAACAATGACCAAATGCCCCCACAGTGAGGCAGGAACCACCTCACAGTGAGGCTGGTGAGGACACCCCACAGTGAGGCAGATAAAACTCTCCTCCCTCCCTCACAGCCTGACGAAGGTACGGGGGGGGGGGGTTCAGAACACCTGAACCCAACCAGGAAGCCTCATGGTGCGCCGTCTGAACCATTTTAAACATTTATGACCGGGATGACACTGACCAGCCTCTCCTGGGGGATTACGACCCCCCTGCCCCACCACTCCCCACCCCCCTCTTTCTGGGCCGCACCAGTGTCCCCCCCCCCCTTTTGTGGCACCTCGGGACCCCCATCACTCCCGGACCCCCTCCCCCTCTTCTTGTGCCACAGCACCATTGCGTCTTTTTCCATACCCCACCGCCCAGTATACAAGTATACACCACCACCCAGTATACCCCACCGCCCAGTATACAAGTATACACCACCACCCAGTATACCCCACCGCCCAGTATACACCACCACCCAGTATACCCCACCGCCCAGTATACATGTATACACCACCACCCAGTATACCCCACCGCCCAGTATACAAGTATACACCACCACCCAGTATACCCCACCGCCCAGTATACAAGTATACACCACCGCCCAGTATACACCACCACCCAGTATACCCCACCGCCCAGTATACAAGTATACACCACCGCCCAGTATACACCACCACCCAGTATACCCCACCGCCCAGTATACAAGTATACACCACCACCAAGTATACAACACCATCAAGGAAGGAAAATGTTTCACACAAATGAAGAAAATATCCACACACACATGGCCGCCCGGTGCCCCCCCCTCCCCCCCCCACCAGCCAAGCAGTGCCACACCTCAATTATCCTGTTGCTCTGCCACGCCCTCTCTCCCCCTCCCCCCCTTCCGTTATCCCCCCCCCTAACCATGCACTCTACGCCCCCTACAACAACAGTAATCCCTCCTACGCCTCTGGTGCTGCATAGGAAAGGTGATCGTGTAAGGGTGTGACGTCCTGTTGGCACTCTCCCCCCTACTGTTGGCACTCTTCCCCCACACTACTGTTGGCACTCTCCCCCCTCCACTACTGTTGGCACTCTCCCCCCTCCACTACTGTTGGCACTCTCCCCCTCCACTACTGTTGGCACTCTCCCCCCTCCACTACTGTTGGCACTCTCCCCCCTCCACTACTGTTGGCACTCTCCCCCCTCCACTACTGTTGGCACTCTCCCCCCTCCACTACTGTTGGCACTCTCCCCCTCCACTACTGTTGGCACTCTCCCCCCTCCACTACTGTTGGCACTCTCCCCCCTCCACTACTGTTGGCACTCTCCCCCCTCCACTACTGTTGGCACTCTCCCCCTCCACTACTGTTGGCACTCTCCCCCCTTCACTACTGTTGGCACTGGGTATCAATGCATATTATTTACTCACTATGCATGCATTTTTATCCAAATTGTGGACATATCTATACCTGAATGAATGTCTATCCACTTGGGGGCGTAGCCTTCACGAAACTTTGCGGGATGAATGGTCTGAGTTACGGGTATGACATAGGGTGGTCGGGGGTCGAGCCCCCTCGACCCCTTTGCATTAAATAGCACATCACACCAATTTACGCTCGCTAAATAAAAAAAAATCCATCCTACGTTACATCAAGTTTATTAAATGTTAGTTAGGATGGAAGATAGTGAAGGTAGGCCTAGGAAGATGGGAGGAGAGAGGGATAGAGAAGGAGATGAGAGAGAGGAGAAGATTATGAGAGAGGGGAAGGTGTGGGAAAGGGGTGGAGAGAGAGACCCGAGGGCCGCCGGGTACCCCTCTTATTAAAATATATTTGGAACAGGAGCTCACAGTGATGATATACTGCTTGTGTAAAGTGATGTTCAATTGTGGGGTAACTCTTGAACAAAACGTTCCGTGAACAAAACGTTCCGTGAACAAAACGTTCCGTAAACACGAGTAATCGCGGGTACGGCCGAGGCGTCCCGGAAACCTGAGGAGTGTGCAAGGAGCATTCCAGTTGTTCCCTGGAACAGTAATCGTGCATGCAATTTTTTTTAAGCAAATTCTTGACTGATTAACACGCGATGTTGTATCTCTTGACAGCTATGTCACCCATAGGCTCTGCCAGAGCATAGGGTCGACCAAGCTGGTCGGAAATGATCACCTTCAGCCCCTGACTGCAGCTGGTCGACAGCTATCACTCCCAGGCACTGCCGGGCGCTGGACGACAGCTATCACTCCCAGGCACTGCCGGGCACTGGTCGACAGCTATCACTCCCAGGCACTGCCGGGCACTGGTCGACAGCTATCACTCCCAGGCACTGCCAGGCGCTGGTCGACAGCTATCACTCCCAGGCACTGCCGGGCGCTGGTCGACAGCTATCACTCCCAGGCACTGCCGGGCGCTGGTCGACAGCTATCACTCCCAGGCACTGCCGGGCGCTGGTCGACAGCTTTCACTCCCAGGCACTGCCGGGCGCTGGTCGACAACTATCACTCCCAAGTACTGCCGGGCGCTGGTCGACAGCTATCACTCCCAGGTACTGCCGGGCGCTGGTCGACAACTATCACTCCCAGGCACTGCCGGGCGCTGGTCGACAACTATCACTCCCAGGTACTGCCGGGCGCTGGTCGACAGCTATCACTCCCAGGTACTGCCGGGCGCTGGTCGACAACTATCACTCCCAGGCACTGCCGGGCGCTGGTCGACAACTATCACTCCCAGGTACTGCCGGGCGCTGGTCGACAGCTATCACTCCTAGGCACTGCCGGGCGCTGGTCGACAACTATCACTCCCAAGTACTGCCGGGCGCTGGTCGACAGCTATCACTCCCAGGTACTGCCGGGCGCTGGTCGACAACTATCACTCCCAGGCACTGCCGGGCGCTGGTCGACAACTATCACTCCCAGGTACTGCCGGGCGCTGGTCGACAGCTATCACTCCTAGGCACTGCCGGGCGCTGGTCGACAACTATCACTCCCAAGTACTGCCGGGCGCTGGTCGACAGCTATCACTCCCAGGTACTGCCGGGCGCTGGTCGACAACTATCACTCCCAGGCACTGCCGGGCGCTGGTCGACAACTATCACTCCCAGGTACTGCCGGGCGCTGGTCGACAACTATCACTCCCAGGCACTGCCGGGCGCTGGTCGACAACTATCACTCCCAGGCACTGCCGGGCGCTGGTCGACAGCTATCACTCCCAGGCACTGCCGGGCGCTGGTCGACAGCTATCACTCCCAGGCACTGCCGGGCGCTGGACGACAGCTATCACTCCCAGGCACTGCCGGGCGCTGGTCGACAACTCTCACTCCCAGGCACTGCCGGGCGCTGGACGACAGCTATCACTCCCAGGCACTGCCGGGCGCTGGTCGACAGCTATCACTCCCAGGCACTGCCGGGCGCTGGTCGACAGCTATCACTCCCAGGCACTGCCGGGCGCTGGACGACAGCTATCACTCCCAGGCACTGCCGGGCCCTGGTCGACAGCTATCACTCCCAGGCACTGCCGGGCGCTGGTCGACAGCTATCACTCCCAGGCACTGCCAGGCGCTAGACGACAGGGATCATCCCCCCCTCAGACAGTGCCTGGAGTTGGTCGCGGGTGGCTGGACCCTCATCCATCACGCTTGTGTCGGACTAACAGCAATAGTCCGGTTGGTGAGGCGAGTGCCGCCACTCTGATCCGTCTTAACCCGGAAATCGTGGCTCGTGTTGCGGAGAGTAACCGGGCCCCGTCTCTGGCGGCGACTCGAACCTCTTAGTCGCTCACACGTTCCCCGGTGTTCCTCTTGTATAAGTGAACACGTTCCCCGGTGTTCCTCTTGTATAAGTGAACACGTTCCCCGGTGTTCCTCTTGTATAAGTGAACACGTTCCCCGGTGTTGCTCTTGTATAAGTGAACACGTTCCCCGGTGTTCCTCTTGTATAAGTGAACACGTTCCCCGGTGTTCCTCTTGTATAAGTGAACACGTTCCCCGGTGTTCCTCTTGTATAAGTGAACACGTTCCCCGGTGTTCCTCTTGTATAAGTGAACACGTTCCCCGGTGTTCCTCTTGTATAAGTGAACACGTTCCCCGGTGTTCCTCTTGTATAAGTGAACACGTTCCCCGGTGTTGCTCTTGTATAAGTGAACACGTTCCCCGGTGTTCCTCTTGTATAAGTGAACACGTTCCCCGGTGTTCCTCTTGTATAAGTGAACACGTTCCCCGGTGTTCCTCTTGTATAAGTGAACACGTTCCCCGGTGTTGCTCTTGTATAAGTGAACACGTTCCCCGGTGTTCCTCTTGTATAAGTGAACACGTTCCCCGGTGTTCCTCTTGTATAAGTGAACACGTTCCCCGGTGTTGCTCTTGTATAAGTGAACACGTTCCCCGGTGTTGCTCTTGTATAAGTGAACACGTTCCCCGGTGTTCCTCTTGTATAAGTGAACACGTTCCCCGGTGTTCCTCTTGTATAAGTGAACACGTTCCCCGGTGTTCCTCTTGTATAAGTGAACACGTTCCCCGGTGTTCCTCTTGTATAAGTGAACACGTTCCCCGGTGTTCCTCTTGTATAAGTGAACACGTTCCCCGGTGTTCCTCTTGTATAAGTGAACACGTTCCCCGGTGTTCCTCTTGTATAAGTGAACACGTTCCCCGGTGTTCCTCTTGTATAAGTGAACACGTTCCCCGGTGTTCCTCTTGTATAAGTGAACACGTTCCCCGGTGTTCCTCTTGTATAAGTGAACACGTTCCCCGGTGTTCCTCTTGTATAAGTGAACACGTTCCCCGGTGTTCCTCTTGTATAAGTGAACACGTTCCCCGGTGTTCCTCTTGTATAAGTGAACACGTTCCCCGGTGTTCCTCTTGTATAAGTGAACACGTTCCCCGGTGTTCCTCTTGTATAAGTGAACACGTTCCCCGGTGTTCCTCTTGTATAAGTGAACACGTTCCCCGGTGTTCCTCTTGTATAAGTGAACACGTTCCCCGGTGTTCCTCTTGTGTAAGTGAACACGTTCCCCGGTGTTCCTCTTGTATAAGTGAACACGTTCCCCGGTGTTCCTCTTGTATAAGTGAACACGTTCCCCGGTGTTCCTCTTGTATAAGTGAACACGTTCCCCGGTGTTCCTCTTGTATAAGTGAACACGTTCCCCGGTGTTCCTCTTGTATAAGTGAACACGTTCCCCGGTGTTCCTCTTGTATAAGTGAACACGTTCCCCGGTGTCCTCTTGTATAAGTGAACACGTTCCCCGGTGTTCCTCTTGTATAAGTGAACACGTTCCCCGGTGTTCCTCTTGTATAAGTGAACACGTTCCCCGGTGTTCCTCTTGTATAAGTGAACACGTTTCCCGGTGTTCCTCTTGTATAAGTGAACACGTTCCCCGGTGTTCCTCTTGTATATTGACACGTTCCAATATCTTCCTTGTCTCACTACAACAAATGTGAACCTTTACGAGTTTTTGATGGTGGAAGATAGTGAACGGTGAGGTAGTTAAGACTGCTGGGTCGAGCAGTCTAACGGACGGTAGAGCGACGGCCTCGCTTCTTGCAGGTCGGCGTTCAATCCCCCGACCTACTATAACTGGTTCGTTACCATTCCTTCCCTCCGTCCCATCCCAAATCCTTCTCCTCCTATCCCTTCCAAGTGCCATATAGTCGTAATGGCTCGGTGCTCCTTCCTGATAGTTACCTAACCCTACGTAGGTCATCAAGGGAATGATTTGGTCGCCCAATCGGTGCCGCGCCATGGAGCTGTAGCTGGTTAGTCAGGGAATGACTTCCTGCTCGTCCTGGCGCTTGTTAACGAGCACCATTAGACTTCTCATTATTTCCCCCATTACCACAGGAGGGAGAACATTGGCTTCCATGTCATTTGCATGAGTGGCGTGAGTTTTGTATAAAGTGAAACTGCCTCGCATGGAGGCAGGGAGGGAGGGAGGAAAGTGCCAAGCCATTACGACTATATAGTACTTGGAAGGGGGTCAGGATAAGGATTTGGGATGGGACAGGGGGGAAAGGAATGGTGCCCAACCACTTATGGACGGTCGGGGATTGAACGCCGACCTGAATGAATCGAGACCGTCGCTCTACCGTCCAGCCCAAGTGGTTGGGCGCCTCTCATGGAACAATCGGCCTTATGCAGCTTCACTTGTTTTGGTCTTAGGTTCGACACAAATGGCTTCCTGGACCCAACACCACCTGGAAATATAACAGTGGGCTGGACCTGGTAGCAGTGGGCTGGACCTGGTAACAGGGGGCTGGACCTGGTAACAGTGGGCTGGACCTGGTAACAGTGGGCTGGACCTGGTAACAGTGGGCTGGACCTGGTAACAGTGGGCTGGACCTGGTAACAGTGGGCTGGACCTGGTAACAGTGGGCTGGACCTGGTGACCGTGAGGCCTCCCGCTTGTTACAGTAATACCTTACTAGGTTATGGCCCGGTAACCACACTGGCAGGGGCAGGGTAGTTTAGCCAACTGGCAGATATATTGATGCTGGTAGTAGCTATTATTTTACCTGCTGTTAGCAAATGGTTCTCAGAGTCTCGGGCCACATTCCTCCGCGTTATTTAAACAATTTATGAAACTAAATTGTTTTAATAATTTACATTAAATGAAAAAAAAAGAGTTGCTTGATTCAATGGATCATAAACCTTCCACAACGTAATGGCCAAATATGTTGTTGGGAATGCCAACAAATTCTTATTGTCATCAAAAGAAGAAAAAAAAGAGGGTTAGAAGTAAATACTCACAAGACAAAATTTCCATTTGATTTAAGCCTGCCTGCAGGCCCTTTGGCCTGCAGGCAAAGACACTCAACAGACTCTTTAGCATCAACAATTGTGAAACTTTACCAGCAAACACAAAGCTTAGATATGAAGCTTATATTCCAGTATTGTCCCGTAATATATTTCAGTCGCTGCTAATCCCGAGTTCGTCCACTCGACCAATAGAGATATCGCTCTTCTCCTCCATACCAGCAGCTGTTGGCAGTTTATAACAGCCACAATTATCACCAGCCATTCCAGCATCGTATTAACATGAGCACACACTTTCCAAACCTCAATAACTGAATAGTTCAAAACAGGATTCAATCTGAAACAGTAATTTTTTGGCTAACTGTTAATTCATGATGGTGCATATAGCTATGTACATTAGTATCTAATTTGATATATACAGTTTACAGAGTTCATTCTTTCCCATTTTGGAGTTACTCTCCTGACTGAACTTCCTCCCTAAATCCTCCCCCTGGGCTAAAATTCCTCCACTTAGATTTGAAATTCCTGCGCTGGGAGTGGCGTGCGTCCCGTCTCAGAATCCACGTGTTAACGTTGACCAGACCACACATTAGAAGGTGAAGGGACGACGACGTTTCGGTGCGTCCTGGACCATTCTCAAGTCGATTGTCCAGAACGTGTCCAGTTTCGGTCCAGGACGGACCGAAACGTCGTCGTCCCTTCGCCTTCTAGTGTGTGGTCTGGTCAACATACTTCAGCCACGTTATTGTGACTCATCGCCTCCACGTGCTAGACTTGGATCAGGGGGGGGGGGAGTGTACAGGAGCAGGAGAACACTCCTTTAACTTCACCAGTACAGCACGGCACACAAAGATATCTACTTCATAAGAGGGAAGGCACAACGGAATGATCCGAAAAGGGGGGAAAGATATGGGAGTGGGTATCATTCTAACACTAACACCAGATACACACATCAACAGGATAACACCGGCGGCATATGGGACGCTGGCAAAATGTAAGAACATCGTTTAGAAACCTACTCCTTGAAGGCAATCTACACAACTGTCAGAAGAATACTGGAATATGCAGCACTGGAATCTGTATCTTGTGAACCATAAAACAAAAACTAAAAAAATACAGAGGTTTGCAACAAGCTTGGTGGCGGAGCTAAAAGTGTTAAGCTATTAGGATAGCTTGGTGGAACTCAATCTCACAACCCTAGATAGAAGAAACAGAGGGAATATGATCACAACATACAAGATACCGAGGGGAACAGACAAGGTGGACGAGGACAGCCTTTTCAATTTGAGAGAAAGTAGAATAGGAGGACACAGGTGAAAGCAGGAAACACAAATGAGCCGAAGAAAGTTAAGGAAATACTCTTACCGTGTACAGGGGTGTTCTACAAGTGGAATGCACGGAAGGAAGAAGTTGTGGAAGCCACCTCCAGCCTCCACATTTAACAAAGAACGTCAGAATAATGAAACAATAACGTAGCAGGTTGAACAAGACCGGAAGGCCGGGGACGAGGAGCTGAGTCTCACTTTCTATGTACTGATGGGCAAAGTACACATGTGTAATATTGGTCCTGGTGAACTCCTTAGATGATCAGACGTCAACATGGTTTAGTATCCAAGGCTCACACTCAGGTGCTGGTATATGGTACAACGGGGAGCTGGTGTTTGGTACAATGGAATGTTGGAATTTTCTACAATTCCTCGCTGGCATTTGATTACAATGAGATGCTGATACCGATTGAAATAGAGTGCTGGTGTTTACAACAGTAAAGGCATATATAGAGGCAGTTTAAACGCCTTCCCAAGTTATTTAAACTGTTCCATCATGGCGCTGAAGGCCATTGGAGAGGAAAGGAAGTTCTGAGGAGGCTTTAAGCCAATATAGATCTTGGAAGAAAGAGAGAGACAGAGATGGAATTAGAGGAGAGAAAGCAGAATGAAGCAGGTCGGGAAAAGGGAATAGAAGGAATGGAGAATGGAAGAGATAGATATTACTTTACCAGCGTCCAGGGCTACTGCAGGAGGGCCCGTCGTCACTAGCCCTGCTGATGGTGGACGATGTCACGTCCCCATCCTTCTCCTACCCTATCAACGTACCTGTAGAAGAGAATGGGAATCATAGAGACATGTCGCCTTTAGTGTGATATAAATGCATTGCTCTCAATCAAACCTACTAGCTGTGGGCCCACTCTCTTTGTCAAGGAGATAACCCTCTCTCTCTCTCTCTCTCTAAGTTATATAACAACCCTTTGAATATATATTAAAATATCCATATTATTGTGGATATTTTATATATAAATTTATTTATTTATTTATTTATACGTGTTTGTGTCTCCTGTTGTGGCCTCAGCGCTGGCCGTAATCTGGAACATTTAAAAAAAAATAAGAACAGATACGAGGAATATAATTCCGTACCGAGTTAAGCTTTAAATAGAAACACTAAAGGTGCCCGGTCAGTGGGAGGTGACGCCGTGCGCCGCCCCTTGCAAAGACGGCTCCTGGTGTGTTGATGCCTGGTGTGTTGATGCCTGGGGTGTTGATGCCTGGTGTGTTGGTGCCTGGTGTGTTGATGTCTGGTGTGTTGGTGCCTGGGGTATTGATGCCTGGTGTGTTGATGCCTGGTGTGTTGGTGCCTGGTGTGTTGATGTCTGGTGTGTTGGTGCCTGGTGTGTTGATGCCTGGTGTGTTGATGCCTGGTGTGTTGATGCCTGGTGTGTTGATGCCTGGTGTGTTGATGCCTGGTGTGTTGATGCCTGGTGTGTTGATGCCTGGTGTGTTGATGCCTGGTGTGTTGGTGCCTGGTGTGTTGATGCCTGGTGTGTTGATGCCTGGTGTGTTGGTGCCTGGTGTGTTGATGTCTGGTGTGTTGATGCCTGGTGTGTTGATGCCTGGTGTGTTGATGCCTGGTGTGTTGATGCCTGGTGTGTTGATGCCTGGTGTGTTGATGCCTGGTGTGTTGGTGCCTGGTGTGTTGATGCCTGGTGTGTTGATGCCTGGTGTGTTGATGCCTGGTGTGTTGGTGCCTGGTGTGTTGGGGCCTGGTGTGTTGATGCCTGGTGTGTTGATGCCTGGTGTGTTGATGCCTGGTGTGTTGATGCCTGGTGTGTTGATGCCTGGTGTGTTGATGCCTGGTGTGTTGTGCCTGGTGTGTTGTGCCTGGTGTGTTGAGCCTGGTGTGTTGAGCCTGGTGTGTTGATGCCTGGTGTGTTGATGCCTGGTGTGTTGAGCCTGGTGTGTTGAGCCTGGTGTGTTGATGCCTGGTGTGTTGAGCCTGGTGTGTTGTGCCTGGTGTGTTGAGCCTGGTGTGTTGTGCCTGGTGTGTTGTGCCTGGTGTGTTGATGTGGTGTGTTGATGCTGGTGTGTTGGTGCCTGGTGTGGTGTGTGCCTGGTGCCTGGTGTGTTGGTGCCTGGTGTGTTGGTGTGTTGGTGCCTGCCTGGTGTGTTGATGCTGGTGGTGTGTTGGTGCCTGGTGTGTTGATGCCTGGTGTGTTGATGCCTGGTGTGTGTTGGTGCCTGGTGTGTTGGTGCCTGGTGTGTTGGTGCCTGGTGTGTTGGTGCCTGGTGTGTTGTGTGCCTGGTGTGTTGATGCCTGTGTGGTGTGTTGATGCCTGGTGTGTTGGTGCCTGGTGTGTTGATGCCTGGTGTGTTGGTGCCTGGTGTGTTGGTGCCTGGTGTGT